GGGGGAGGACAACAGATGGCCCATAAGCCAAGGGGCCTGGGAGATCGGCGCCCTGGCCGAAGAAGCGTGCTGGCGGGCAGCCACCGGCTTGGGGCTGGCCTGGGCGCACGTTGCCCGGCGAACAGCAGTCGCACAGGGGGGGACGGGGGGGGGGCGGGGACCGGGGACATGGTCTGAGGGTGGCTCGGCCGGCCGGCTCTGGTGGCCCCTGGATCGCAGGACCGAGTCGGGAGATGGGTGGGCCTGCGATGGATGGGCGGCCAGCCGGACGGCCGGACGGGTGGGTGGCATTCTGACCAAACAGAACACCTCGGAAAACAGGCAGACCAAAGGGGGAGCCGGGGTAACACCCCTACACCCGGCAGGGCCGGGAGAGAACCCACGGCAATCAGCAGCCAGTCGCGTCCGTTGCAACAGAACATTATCCGAAGGAGCCGAGCCACTTTTTGTCCCCTTGGGGGAGGGGGGAATGGAAGGGCTCAGGAATTGCCCTCGGCATATTGTCTGGGGGCGAATGCCCTGGGAAAGTATGGACAGAAGAATTATTCGGGGCGCGCATTTCGCGGCTCCTTCCCGGGGGGGAGGAGGATGTCCGGCGGGGTGGGCGGCAGACGGGCCAGCAGTGCGAACGCGCACCAGGACAAGGGACGGGCATGGAAGCGAGGGAGGGGCCAACAAGAGAGACGGAGAGAGAGAGAGAGAGAGGCAGGCGGGGGGGGGGGGGGGGCAGACATACGCGGGGCAGCCGAAGGGGGGCCCATTTCTCCGGCTCTGCCTGGTGCCGTGTCCCCGACCCTGCCGTGTCTGCCGCAACTCAGGGGGGCGCACGGGTGTGCATATCGCGCGCGCGCGTGCGCGCGCACGGACAGCCAGGTAGAGGGGATGCCTGCGCGCCCATTCCGCCCTGGAAGGGCGGGGGGAGATTGCACAGGCGCGCAGCCGGCCCCCCCCCCCCCCCCCGGCGGTCCCGGATTGAAGGAGGGCAACTGCAGGCGTAGCAAGGCCCTACCTCGAGCCGGCGGCCCGCCCCCCCCACCGCGACGTGCACCCTGCGCGCCGCGCCGCGCCGCGCCGC